ACATATATACAATTTCTCCTCAATCCCACATCAAAACCTTTTGTAAATTTTTTCGTTTTTCATTTTTATATATTAAACTAGTGATGTATTCCTCGCTCGGTTAAAATTGTACTTATTGTTGTTTACTTATTGTAGTTTATGTATATTATACATATAATTTATGTTTTAAATTAATATCTTATTAATATTGTATAAAATTTATCTTAAAATTGGAAAAAGATGTTACATAAAAATAGTTTGTAAGATTTTCTAAAAGCATATATGCAAAGTATTTTGATTTATTTGAAAATAATAGAAAATAGATTTTTCAAGGAGGGTGTCGAGGTCACGGGGTCGGTGTCGTTTTTCGAAATTTGTTAACTTAATATAATAGAAGATGTTTCGTTTTAAATTAAGAAATGTTAAAATTATTAAGTTAAAAACATTTGATTTTAATGACACTTAAAATTAGACACAATATTATAGGTTACTAACTAAAAATTGAAAAAACAACAATAAATAATAAAAAATAATAATAAAAAATTGAAAAAATCAAAAAATTCTTAAAAAATTGCAAAATAACCCTTTTTTGGGATAAAATTGCAAAATAACCCTTTTTCGGGTTAAAATTGAAAAATAACCCTTTTTCGGGTTAAAATTGAAAAAAGATGTTACATAAAAATAGTTTGTAAGATTTTCTAAAAGCATATATGCAAAGTATTTTGTTTTATTTGAAAATAATTGAAAATAGATTTTTCAAGGACGGTGTCGAGGTCACGGAGTCGGTGTCGTTTTTCGAAATTTGTTAACTTAATATAATAGAAGATATAAGTATCACATAGTGTACTTCCACAGCAGGAATTTATTATTTATTTCTTCCCCACTTGGAAAGATTTCCCGGAAAGTGCCCCCTCGAGGTTCTATCAGAATTCCGCCGGAACTTCCAACGTAATTCCGTCGGAATTCCAAAGAATTTCCGATGGGATTCCGACGGAATTAGGACTCTAAAAATGTTGAAAAAAAAAATTAATCGGAATTCCGTCGGAATCCTATTGGAAATTCTTTGGAACTCCGATGGAATTCCGACGGAATTACGTTGGAAGTTCCGGTGGAATTCTGATAGAACCTCCCGGGTGGCACTTTCCGGGGAATCTTTCCAAGTGGGTCTAAACGGTATTTTACGACAAATTATTTTGGTAGTATCATCTTTATTATAATCGAATTTATCTATATACTGTTATTACTATTAAACTATACACGTTTGCCAAATGAATGTGGTGTGTAAGTCAAAGGGTGATTTGGAAACTCAACACAAATTCCCTAATTCGTTTATGGCTTACAAAACGAGTCTTTTGGGAGTAGGTACATTCAACTGGTTGCCAAACAGTTTTGGCTCGGTTTCGGACTCCCAGGGGTCTAATACTCGTCTCTATACTCCAGAAACCATTTTAAATTGATTTAATCAAATTCAATTAAGATATACTTAATGAATAGGTTTTGAACCGTGTGTTTGCTTTTATTTTTATATACTTTTATTTCTCTTTCTCTCTTTGCGTAAAACCACGAAATTAACAGATTTTACAAACTTCATTTTTAATACATTAAGATATTGAATTATTTATCATAGGAAACATCTAATTATACTCGCCCATAGTTAATATAAATTTTTATGAATTTAAAATAGATAACAAAAATTTTGTTTGGTAAAATCTTGTACATATCTACTACTGCGTTTTTAAACTATGAATTCCCAAAGGAATGATTGTAAAAGTAAATTCAGTGTAGGGTTAGCATATCCTCCCTTCATAGACGATTAATCCAGTTTACTCGCAGACGCCACCCTGCAGGGGGTTCTCTTCGTAAGTCGTGAATCCGCACAACCGACCCCCGCGCTTAAATATATTCAATTACCGAGTCTTCGAACTACCATGCACAGGTATATTCAACCTTATAACAAAGTACACTCACAAGTCCCAAAATAGTAAATAAAACATCTAAAACGTTTTAGAATGTTTCATATGTCCGTCAAAATAACGTACGTTAAGAACTTTTAAAAATGTTCCTAAAAACATCCCAATGGGAAATTTACACCATTGTCAGCATTGGCCTAATATTGAACCATCATTGGTCCTATAATGGCTCAATGGTTATACCATTGTCAATATCCCATACTAGGATTTTACAACGTTTTATGTTCTAAAAACGTTCCTAAAACATTTAAGAATGTTTTATGTTCTAAAAACGTTCCTAAAATATTTAAGAATGTTTTATGTTCTAAAAACGTTCCTCTAAAACATTTAAGAATGTTTTATGTTCTAAAAACGTTTTTAGAATGTAGAGCATTTCTTAATACGTATACGTTATTTTGGCAGATGTATATGAAACGTTCTAAAATGTTTTAGGAACTTTTCTAGAAAATCCATAATGCTGTTGGGTTGTTTAAACCATTACTGTTAATTTGCGAATGTTCCAAAACAGTACATACCTAAACACCAATGATTTTTAATTGTTAAAATCCTGTTCCATTTACATTCCTAACTTCTATAAACATAACCTAAACATAACCTTCTTGCTACCCCTTTCTTCAGTGCACAATATTGTATGTAAAAAAAAGTTTGTAAATCTGTAAATACTAATTCCAGATCAAAATCTTATCTTCTGTGCTTTAATTAACTTTTGAAATCAAAAGTACTTAAACCTTAAAACGGTATACATACACATATATATGACTTTGACAATCACGCTAGTGACTCTTAAACAGACTTCTATCACTAAAAAAGAAAATGTGAATGTATATGTATATGTACTATGGGGCATCGGAGTAAGAAAAAAAAATATAAAGCAATCAAAAGGAGAGGGAGAGAGAAAAAAAGAGGAGAGAGAGAGAGAAGGAGAGAGTTAAGCCTGCAGGCTGCAGACAGTGGCAATGCTATGGGCACTACTGCCAACATGGCAAATGCAAGCCCAGAAGGGAGACAGACATCTCACCCTTCTTTTGTCCCCGGTCTCTGCCCGATATTGAAATGGAGTCATTTGAGTGTGAATAATTTGCTTTGGCGAAGCCTTCTCTCCTTCCCCACTATTCCCCTTCTCACTCACTCACTCTCTCCTCCCTCTCTCTCTCTCCCTATATATATCTCTCTCTATACTATATACCTATCGCTTTTCTCCTATCCGATCATTTTAGGATTCGTCGAGCACACCAAACATTTGGGGCGATTCTCCCGATATCGAAATTGTTATATATATATATATATGTCAAATGCCTAAAGATAAAAAAATATTTTTGTAATATTAATTTAAATTTTTTTTTTGTTAAAACCCATAGGAATATTAAATGCAAAATTTATTTCTTGGAATACTGAAAAAAATATTGTTGAACAATAAAATTCTGTAGTGCAAAACTGAAATACCGTAATTTTTTTATTTAGGTTATGTTGCCAACTATGTTTTTTCTTCTGAAAAAAAATATAGAGATTAAAATTATGGAAAATTTGAATTCAATTTGATAGAAATAATTATTTCTATCTTCTATGGATCAAATTTTCCATAATTTTGTATATTTTTTTAAAGAAACATAGTGAATAACATAACCTATAAGTAAAAAAAACTATCTGTTTCAGTTTTGTACGGCAGAATTCTATTTATAAAAACAAATGTATATATTGCCGCTGGGTTCGAGGCTATGTTTGACAAACATAACCTCAAAATCCAGAGCCACAGGTCAAGCATAACCGCAAAATTCAAACTTAACTTCAAAATTCAAGGTCATTGGTCGAACATAACCGCTAAATTGAAGATCACAGGTCAAACATAACCTAAAAATCCAAGGTCATAGGTCAAACATAACCTCAAAATTCAAGGTTCCAGGTCAAACATAACTTCAAAATTCAATGTTAAAGGTCAAACCTAATTTCAAAATTCAAGGTCATAGATCAAACATAATCTCAAAATTGAAGGTTATACGTCAGGAGACCGTTGAATTCGAGACTATGTTCGACAAACATAACCTCAAAATTCATTGGTCTTGACACAAAATAACTATATATATATATATATTTATAAAAAATATAGACATTCTGTTGTTCGGATGCTGGTCAGATTGGGAGCAAGTGAATTTATTAAACGTGAATCGTTTACGTCGCAAGAACAATGACACGCGTTGAGAATCGTAAATTGAGTATATATAAATCGAGTTCGGAGGTACTCAAACGTGTGTATTTGTATGAATGCATTCTCATTTATGACTCGGGGATTCTAAAATTAAAATAACGTAATCGACTGCACAATTCACTTTCTCTTTGAGAATACTAATAAAATCTATCCATTCTTAATAAATACCTATATATATATATATATAAATATATAAATTTTGAAATAAATATTCATAATTTTCTAATTTAGGTAAATATATTCATAGAAAATAAAAAATAATTATTATAAGAAATAAAATGTTGAATAAAAATTTTATTTCGAAATAAGCACAAGACAATACAATTTCAGGAAGTTGTATAAAAAATTATAATATTTGTACTCTTACTTTAATTTTTTTTTTTTTTGCGCACTTCCTACTATATATCCATTATTGGAAAAAGAATTTATCCTCATTTGTGCGAAGAAAATCAGACTGATCATTCAAGAGGAAGACAAACTTTCTTTATGGAAAAATCGATTTTGAATTCAATGAACAGTACTTGATTATGGACTTACGTTGGGAAATATGCTTTTTATAATAGAAAAAGGATTAAATACTTATATATCGATAAAAATTATCCTCTCGCCTTTATATATATATATATATATAGTTCTATGTAATATCAATTTTAAAAAAATTAGACACCGTTAGAAAAAGAATTATATGAAAAAAAGTATATTCCGGGAAGCATATTCTTTGCGGCAATTTTCATGCGGTTTTTCAGAAGGTCAAATCAACGCCAAAAGCGAATGTAAAGAGACCGGACGATGAGCAAATAGCCTGCCAAAGAGGATTCATTGCTTTTAAGAGGCCAATGTCATCCGTGTGAAGCATCAGGTTGGTTGCGGGGTGTTTAAACATGCAAAGCGCGCTCCATTCGAGGTGTATAAAAGCCGTGACTGGTCCCCAAATATCAGTATCTTCAGGACAACCAACTAAACAATATGAGGGTAATCAAAAATTCTTCCTCTTTTTTTAAAAAATCTTTCCTATATTGATCTCAATTTTTTTTCTCCTATCAATTAATTAATCCTCTGATTTTTTAATCCCTTTATTTATTTATATCCTACACTTGAGAATTTTGTTATTTACTAATTAATTCTTTTTTTCTATTTCTGCATTAATATAGACGTTCCTGATTTCAAGTATTTTGGTAGTTCTGGTCGCCGCTGAGCCACCGGCCTACAGGCAAAGATACTATGTTGCACAACAGAGAGAAGAAGTCACACAGGATCCATCATTAGCTCCGTACGCTCCCTCAGGATGGAAACCTAATGGACCTGCCTTTAATTTGCCTCAGAGACAAGTTCAACCATCACTGAATGAATATGGATCACCTTCGGCTCCTCAAAATCAGTACGGACCACCTTCTGCTCCTCAAAATCAATACGGACCTGCAGCAGCGGCTCCTCCAAATCAATATGGACCACCTTCTGCTCCTCAAAATCAGTACGGACCTTCAGCTGCTCCTTCAAATCAGTATGGACCACCTTCTGCTCCTCAAAATCAGTACGGACCTTCAGCTGCTCCTTCAAATCAGTATGGACCACCTTCTGCTCCTGAAAATCAATATGGACCTTCAGCAGCACCTTCTCAGAATCAGTATGGACCACCTTCAGTTTCTCAAAATCAGTACGGATCACCAGCGGCACCTCAGAAACAGTATAGATATCCGGCGGCACCTCAAACTCAATATGGACCAGCAGCAGCAGCTCCACAGCAACAATATGGATCACCAGTGGTTCCACTAAATCCCTATACATCGCAACAATTCGAAGCATCGCAAAAATTCAGAGCTGCACAAAAACAAACCAATGTTCCTCAAAGTAAATACGGTCCTCCCGAATACACTACCACTGAATATCCAAATACCACCGAATTTGATGAACCAACTACTGTGAAAGGTCTCACTGAATCGGAGGTGAGTTTCTTATTTACTTTAGTTTAAAATCTGACACAATTTTGAAGCACAACTTTAAAATCAAATACAATTTTGAAGCACAACTTAAAAGGAAACACAATTTTGAAGCACAACTTTAAAATCAGATACAATTTTGAAGCACAACTTAAAAGCAAACAAAATTTTGAAGCACAACTTTAAAATCAGACACAATTTTGAAGCACAACTTTAAAATCAGATACAATTTTGAAGCACAACTTTAAAATCAGTTACAATTTTCAAGCATAACTTACAAGCAAATAAAATTTTGAAGCACAACATTAAAATCAGATACAATTTTGAAGCACAACTTTAAAATCGAACACAATTTTGAAGCACAACTTCACTGTAAAAAGAAGGTACTAAAATAGTACCGATTTTAGGTATTAAAATAGAACCAAAAGCCAATTTAGTACCTAAAGTTGGTATTAAATTAATACCTCTCGTTTTACAGTGTTTAAAATCAGATACAATTTTGAAGCACAACTTAAAAGCAAACAAAATTTTGAAGCACAACTTTAAAATCAGATTCAATTTTGAAGCACAACTTTAAAATCGAACACAATTTTGAAGCACAACTTTAAAATCAGATACAATTTTGAAGCACAACTTAAAAGGAAACAAAAATTTGAAGCATAACTTAAAAGGAAACAAAATTTTGAAGCACAACTTTAAAATCAGACCCAATTTTGAAGCACAACTTAAAAGCAAACAAAATTCTGAAGCACAACTTTAAAATCAGACACAATTTTGAAGCACAACTTTAAAAGCAAACGAAATTTTGAAGCACAACTTTAAAATCAGACCCAATTTTGAAGCACAACTTAAAAGCAAACAAAATTCTGAAGCACAACTTTAAAATCAGACACAATTTTGAAGCACAACTTAAAAGCAAACAAAATTCTGAAGCACAACTTTAAAATCAGACACAATTTTGAACAACACTAAAAATAGGGTTTTGTTTTGACAACAAAACGTTTGGTTGGTATAGTTAAGCAACCAAAATTTTGGTTATCTCAACCATTTTCTTTCTAATATTAATTGTTAACCAAAGATTGTCACAACCGATTTTTGAGGCAACAAAAAACTTTCTTAAATACCAAATATTTTGTTATCGAAGCCAAACTCTTCTTTCCGTGACTATTAAAAGTTTGAAAAATTAACATATTGCAAATTATTCTAAAATCAGTGAAAAAGAAAATTTACCATTCTAATTTTTGCAAAAGAAATCTATTTCTAATGTTAAAGTACATTGACTCTATTTTGATATAAATACCAGAGAAAAATAAGCAATTAGTATTCCTTGCGAGGAGAAATTACGTAAGAGTCAACATTGGATTATTTTTACTCAGTATTATCGTTCACGCAAGGACGTTTCTTTCTTCATTCAGAAATTAGAACTATATCCAAAAACAGTTAAATTCTTTTGTTTCGGATTTACTCAATTTATGCCGCGCACTTATAAACGTTTTCTGAGAATTTAAAATCCAAATGCTTCTTTCTTTTTTTTTGGCTTTATTTGCGTAACGTTTAGTCGCTCATCTTCTCACACAATTTTAATATTCAGAACGTGTGTTGCTTAACTTTCGATTGCCACTTGAGCGCGTGTCATGTACCAAATTTTTTTTTTCAAGTCCCTGACACACAGTGTTTATATGCGTCTCTTGAGAAATTAACACACTCTTTTGTCAATTAATTATTTCTTTTCTTTTCAACGCATGCATGATTTTTATGTTCCAAAAATTATATGTTGGTTCCATTTAAAAAAAAAAAAAAACAAATATTTTCACACAGTCAGAGCCAGTGAATTCAGTGAATGAATTGGGCGAGGAAACAGGTGAAATTGATGAGCAACAAAAAAAATCCGGACAGTACTTTGTGGCCCTTCCTGATGGACGACTTCAGCGCGTTCGTTATGTAAGTCGTGAGGACGTTGAAGCAATGAAGTACTTTGCAAAAATTCGTGCCGATAATGTTGAACCATTACGTGGACCAATTTATTCATATGCACCATTACAAAAATTACAAATCACACCGGGATCATCACAACTTGGTGTATCAGTGTCGGCACCCGTTCCAGTTGAAGTGTCAAGACCTGAAAGATTATTAGCTCCAAAAGTTGATATTCAACCACTCGCACAAGTTCAATATCAATTGGATAGTCCTGGAAATGTGATTCCTCTTAGTTCTTCATTCAGTACATATACGGCAAATTATCAAGTGCCAGCTCCTTCTGAGCAAAAATTCATTATTTCTGTATAAAAAATCGCTTTGAAAAAAAGTGTAATTCTTTTTTTAAGTGCGATGACTAAAAAATAGAGGAATCTATTTATTGTACATGTTGTAAAAACTAATTTATAGTGCTAATAAAATTGATTTTAATCGGATTTACATTTTGTTTTTTTATGTTCTGCTAAATAATTTCAAAACTAATTTTATTTGGCAGAAAAATTTGTGCGCAAATATTAAAATTGACTAATCGCAGATAATGATATAAAATTATGATTGATCGGTTTTAAAATTTATCCCCAAATTTTTTTTGCCAAATATTTATTCGAACAAAGGAAAATTTGTCCTAAAAATAAATTCTAAGTAATAAAATTTTGTCAAATGAAAATTCTAACTATCTAAAACTTACATATGTATGTCTTAAAAAGCGTTGCAGATTAAGGGTCAAAAAATGTATATGTCTTTTTATAATTTTTTTTCCATTATTTTATTTGAGCACTTAATTACCCTAAAGTACACTATAAAAATAATAAATTAAAAAATTTTCGTTAATAATTTTATATATCTGATTGTTAAAATATATATATAGCTATATCTGTAAACTCAATCGGAAATTGAATTCCTAATTTAAAATAACATAAATCTTTGATATAAATATATTAAATAGAGATTAAATATTTGAAGCTTATTGCCAAATAGGATATTGGCTAGAAATATGAACGGTAACATATATATATAGACACTTTATATACAAGTATGTGTGATAGTATAGACGCGCGCTCACCGCAAAATTCCAGAAATTTAATATCGAGTTCACCCCCGCCGCACACAGTATATAGGAGCATAGGGAAGGCTGTTTCATAAGTTCCTCTGTACATATACATACGTATATATATATATATGTATATTCCCCTAAGTTCCCCAAAACCTTTAGAGGTAAAGCCCAAATTATATATAGATATAAGCGTCGCCTGCTGTGAGCACAAAATAACAGGCTAAACAATTTAAATTAAAAAAAAATTTCTTTCATTTCTATATATCAAATTAAAATTTGTATATAGTTTGATGTCAATCAACCGATGTAATTAAATCTGGTCAAGCGGTGGAAAACGTGCTGGCAAATCAATTAAATCGACACTATGATCAGTTTCCAAATTCTCTCCTCGTTCCTCCTTTATACTTCTCGGAGTGCGCATCTATATATATATATATATAGTTATTTGAGATAGTATTTGACTAACAACCAAAACTTGTAAGGTCTTCTATTAGTTTCCATCTTCAGAAGCTTCTTCCTTTATTGTAAACAAAGTTTCTACGAGTTTCATGAATCTAAATCCTTTAGACAACTAGGGGGTCGATTATGTGTATTTCCATTTCACTTGAACTTTTAATTTTACTTTTATAAAAAATAAATACACGGAGAAAAATGGAAAAACGAATAAAGTAACTTTTACTATATATATATATATTTTAAAAGTTAAACTGGAACTGTCCGTTGTTTCTGCCCACTTGGAAAGATTCCCCCGAAAGTGCCCCCTGAAGGTTCTATCAGAATTCCGTTGGAAGTTCCAACGTAATTCCGTCGGAATTCCACCGGAGTTCCAAAGAATTTTCGATGGGATTCCGATCGGATTCCGACGGAATTCCGATTAATTTTTTTTTCAAAATTTTTAGAGTCCTAATTCCGTCGGAATCCCATGGGAAATTTTTTGGAACTCCGATGGAATTCCGACGGAATTCTGATAGAACCTCCAGGGGGCACTTTCCGGGGAATCTTTTCAAGTGGGTGCGCATTTCTGGCAATTTTTACTCCAGAAATAGTAAAATTTACTGCTCAAATATAGTAAAAATTGTTCCGGATTATAGTAAATTTAACTATTTTTGGAGTAAAACTTACTATAGAACTATGCGCAGAAACTGCGGACAGTTCCGGTTTTACTTTTTATAATTATAGTAAAAGTTACTCTACTCGTTTTTCCATTTTTTCTCCGTGTACCTTTAAATAAAATAAAAATAAAAAAAACACACTAATTTAAAAAAATCAAATTGATACCAAAAATATCATAATTTGATATTTTTGGTATATATCAATTTGATACTTTTAAATTAGTGTGAATTATTACTTTTTCAATAACGTATAATTTTTTCGCGAGCAATTAATTTTTTTCTCTCATAATCCCATTTTGTTAGTTTTATTTTCTTATATAAGATAAGGAAAAAAAAAGACTCCTATATAATAGAAAAAAATTTGCGCGGATATTATCGGCTTAAAAAAATTAAATTTACACAAAGCTACGCGAAACGATGACGAATTATTTCTACCTGATGAATTCAACTTCCTAAAGGATTCATTATACAATTATGGGGTGCGATCATTAAAAAGGCTCGTTTAATTCTAACAATAGAAATTTAAAAAAAAAAAACTTTAATATTATGATTAGGAAGACACGATTCTTATCGTATAAACAAGTAAATATAGATATATATGTAATTTTGCATTTCGCATCTTGCATATGATTTTCAGGTAAAATTCTGTATTATAAAGTGCATATTGCGGCGACTGTAAACGACGAAATTGAGTTACGCTCGGGTACTTATTAGAAGGAAGCGGTATTCCTTTTCAGTGAATCTGAGTGCGCGCGAGCCTACTGTACAGAGGGATATATATATGGAATAAGTTTAATGCGAATGAATTAATTCTTGAGAAGAAAATTAATTTTAACATATTTGTAATGTGATATTTTTAAAAGGGGGAATTAGATTTTAATATTAAATAATTAATTGCACTGAGAAACTTTAAAATTCCTATAAGGCGTAGTAATTTATATATCTGTCCCACTGATAACTATTAAAAAAAAAAAATTAGAGAATTTTAACAAGAGTTACAGTAAATTTTACTATTAGCGGCAACAGAATTTACTTCTGGCAAATTTTGTTTTGGAAATATTAAAAAATACTATAGCAAAAGTTTCCAGAGATAATATAATATACGCGCGCCAACCCCCTGTTTTTTTTATTGTTTTTGTAAATGGCCTTATGACCTATTTTGAGTTTATGTTTTGCCAATTTCTGGAATTTAAAACTATTATTAATATTTTATACTTTATTTATTATTTATTATAATAATAATTTTTATTATTTTTAATTTTTAAAAGAAAATTTATCTAATTTTTTAACTTTTCTTGACAAAATTTGATTTATACATTTAAGGTTATGTTTGTTTTTTGGTTGCATTTCCCTTCAAAGTTTAACCTAAATTTTGAGATTTTTTCTTTTTTTGGTCGTTTTCCGCCAAATTTTGGTCTAAATTTTAAGGTTATGTTTGTTTTTCCGCGAAAATAAGATAACCTTAAAATTTAGGTCAATTTTGTGCGGAAACTACACCTCCCCTCAACGTAAGGGAGAGGGGCCTGAAACGAGAGTCTTGAAACGAACATAACCTATAAATTCAGATCATTTTTGGCGGGAAATCTACCTCCACTTGCGGCTATATTCAAAGGCTTGAAACAAACATAACCTTAAAATTTAAGTTATTTTTGGCGGGAAATTCGGAGAAAGAGGAGGGGAGAACTTACGACTAGGAGGACTTACGACTATATTCAGAGTCTTGAAACGAACATAACCTCTAAATTTAGGTCATTTTTGGCGGGAAATCCACTTCCCCTTGCAGCTATATTCAGAGGCTTGAATCAAATATAACCTCAAAATTTAGGTCATTTTTGGCAGGACATTCGGAGAAAGAAGGGGGGAGGACTTGTGACTATATTCAGAGTCTTGAAACGAACATAACCTCAAAATTTAGGTCATTTTTGGCGGGAAATTCGGAGAAAGAGGGGGGGGGGAGGACTGGCGACTATATTCAGAGTCTTGAAACGAACATAACCTCTAAATTCAGCTCATTTTTGGCGGGAAATCCACCTCCCCTTGCAGCTATATTCAGAGGCTTGAAACAAACATAACCTCAAAATTTAGGTCATTTTTGGCGAGAAATTCGGAGAAAGAGGGGGGGGGAGGAATTGCGACTATATTCAGAGTCTTGAAACGAACATAACCTCAAAATTTAGGTCATTTTTGGCGAGGAGAGGCGTGAGGGAAAGGGGGCACTTGCAGCTATATTCAGAGTCTTGAAACAGCGGCGGCGGCATTGCGGCAGCGATATCTTTTTGTAATATATATATATATATATATATATTAATTAAGCAATATGACTTATTCTCACAAAAATAGGGTTCCTGGCTTATTGTTTACGGAACCCTCTTTATGCGTATAGTTTTGGATATAATATCGACATGTCTAGTGACGCAATGCATTGCATTTGACTCTGGTTTGACAAAAAATCAAACTCAAGAAGAGTCGAAATATATCAGTGAAAAAAAAAAAAATGAGGAGAATACTATACAACACACTACAAAAGAGTCTTTCTGTTAAGCAGGTGCCGCTCGCCTACAGGGGGTTCAAAGAGTTCGATGTGCTCTATACACACCGCGGGAGGTCTTCAATCATCCTCGACAGAATACGTCGAACGATATATCCACATCCTGGTATTGTATATATCAATTCGTTCTCGAGTCTATAGACGCGACTTAGCGCAGTTGGGAGTTTTAATTTTCTTTTTCTTTCATTTTTTTTTTACTATACACGGTGAAAGAGAAACCTTGGCATCATATTACAGAACGAAAATTTGAAGTGAAATTAGAAAAAAGTTGATTAGTTTTCGGTATAAACGATTGTTAATTTAAAGTTTTTTATTTTAATGAGTAAAAAGTGTTTCTGATTTTCGAGTATATCTCTAACGAAAGAAGAAGAAATTTCAGCTTTTTCGTTTGATAAACATACAAAACGTGATCCGCCATTCATCTCTCACCTGAGTTGCAACAATTTCTCCGCAAGAGCGCTAGTATCGCTAACTAAAAAACGAAGTCTCGAACAGAAAAGAAAAATTTTCATTGAAATTTTTCGATTACTATAATTTATTTAATAAAACCAATCGGCGCAGTTGAAATAGTCCAATAACTAATTCAGATTTAGAAAATAAAAAAATTTCAAGAATTTTTTACAGACAATCGACGGAAGAGATTTTCGAGGCTTCTTTTTTTTTAGAAAGTGCGTTGGAAACGCGAACAGAAAAAAAGGGCTGACAATCAAGTCAAAAAGAGAT